GGGGACTTCCGGTCGTCTGGCTCGCCAGCCACAGGATCTCAGGGGGAGTTCCGGTCTTCTGGCTTTTTGCAAGGTAGATGAGAGCACCCTGCATTATGACAGAACATGGGAGGTGTAATAGGTTTGTGAACACAATGATGACTTCAGTTTTGGACATGTTGAATTTGGGGTACTTGTGAGAAATTGAAGTAGAATTGTCCAGGAAGTTGGTGGGGAAATGGGTCTATACTTCAGCAGATGGCCTTGGGCTGGAGCTAGAGATTTTAGGGTTGTCATTGTGTAAGTGGTGGTTAAGGTGGTGCAGTTTAAGGATCTTGTGTTTATTCCAGCAGAATATCGAGAAGAGCAGGGGTTTGAGAAGCCCGAGGAACACCAGGCTTGGGGTAAAGAAAGGAAGAGGATTTTTGGAGAGAATGATAACTGATGCCAAAAGAGAGAATTTAAGGGAGGAAGGAAGGAGCTTAGACAAAAGTGGTCATCAGCATCTGAGTCAAGTGAAGGTGGAGGGTTGTTTGACTGACACTCTGAAGTCAGTGTGGCATAGCATGGTCAGTTGCAGTGAGACCAGAAGCTGGTGGGCAGCAGGGTGTGGGTGGGGGGCTCCAGGGAACTTGGTGGACTAAACATGTCTTCTGAAACCATACAGAAATGGCATAAACCTGCAAGGGCAAAGAAAACAAAAAGGTGATAATAGGCACAAAATTTTGCAAGTTGGAAAGCAGATAAGTGAGTGGTAACTGACTCCACTCATCTGAGTAAACTGAGTCCTTGGCCCAAGAACTCTCAAAAGATGTGGGAATTGATGGCAGTGGGTTCTTCTGGAAGGAGGGTGTAAAGGTAGAACAAAACCCAGGAAGGTTGGTAGAAAGCTTATTTAAAAACCATTTCAATCTTCAGATTTTTTGTTCTAGTCTGTGTAACTGGGCAGCTTTTCATCCTCAGCTGTAGCAGAAGACCAGAGGTTCAATCTCTGCAGAGGAACATGTCACATAAGAGACTAGGCATGGCTGCAGGCAGGGCCATAGTAAAAACAAGGCTGTTGTCTTAGTGAGCCCAGACTGCTATAACAGAATGCCAGAGACTGGGTGGCTTATGAACAACAGGTGTGTATTCTTCACAGCTCTGGAGGCTGTAAGTCCAGGATCAGGGGTCCACAGATTCGGTGTCTGGTGAGACAGACACCTTGCCATGCCTTCCTCACATGGTGGGAGGCTTAAGGGAGCCTTCTGGGGTCTCTTTTATGACACTGATGCCATTCATGAGGGCTCCACCATCGTGACCTAATGACCTCCCAAAGGACCCACCTCCTAATACCATCCCCTTGGGGGTTAGAATTTCAACACGTGAATGTTGTACACACACAGAAATACGAACATGGTGGCACACATACTATAGGTGGGAGATTGCCCGTTCCTTGGTTGGACTGTGTAACCAGCTTTAGCGGAAACACTGACAGTGGCATGAGGGGTTCCTAAGGAAATTGGCCAACCAGATTACCCACTGCCAAGAGCTAAGTCTTCAACCCCCACCCAAGTGCTCAGATTTTCAAGCACATTTTTAGTGCTCCACTCTTAAACAGTGGCAATAAACCAAGGATTGCCAGGCATCTGAAAAGAATCTCCAAGATGAAGGTTGGACATCAAAACAGTCAACCAACTTGGAGGAAACAGTCTGTGCAGGGAGAAGAAAACATCTGTATTTCTTAAACATATTCAGAGAATAAGAGAAGACAGTATATCTGGGAAATAACAGGATCGATATATATATATATACACACATACACCTGAATATTCAGAGACAAAAGTATGAAAGAAATAGAAAAAAACCAATAGAATTGTTGGAAGGATTGGGGCACCTGAGTGGCTCAGTTGGTTAAGCATCCGACCTTGGCTCAGGTCATGATCTCATAGTCTGTTAGTTCGAGCCCCTCATCGGGCTCTGTGCTGTCAGTTCAGAGCCTGGAGCCTGCTTCGGATTCTGTGTCTCCCTCGCTCTCTGCCCCTCCCCCACTCTCTCTCTCTGTCTTTCAAAATATGAATAAACGTTAAAAATTTTTTTTTAAAAAATTGTTGGATAGATTGAGAAAATAATTTGGAAAGTAGAGCAAAAACAAAGATTGAGAAAAAAAGGAAATAAGTAGTTAGAACCAATATAAGAAGTTGAGCATCTGTAAAAGTTTCAGGAAGAGAAAGACAGAGGCTGGGAAATTGTTTTTAAAAATCATGAAAATTACCCACAACCGAATATATGAGTTCCCAGATTCAAATGCTCAGCAAAATGGATTAAAGTAGATCTACAGTGAGGCTATCATGGTGAAAATTTAGAAACACCAGAGACAAAGATCGTAGAAGCTCCTGGAAAGAAGTCATCTACAAATCAAAATGTCTTCAGATTCCACAGCAACAGCACCGTGGAGCTGTACCTTCAAAACTGGGGGGAAAGGATTTCCGACTTAGAATTCTACACCTAACCAGAGAATAAAGGCATTTTCACACAAAAGTTTTACCGACCAAGAAGCTGCCGGAGGATTGAGTTACAATGAAGTCAAGAGCAAACCAAGGAGGAGGAGGACTTTCCTCTAAGAAACAAGAATGTGGAAGACGTGGAGGGCATACCAAGTCTTCCTCAACATCTTGGGAGGATATTTACATAGCAGGGAGAGTGTTCAGGCTGGAGGTGGTGATAAACACCCAGAAAACAAAGGAAATGGAGAGGAGAAACAAGGAAATTGTGAATTCTTTAATAAATTAAAGCAACAGGCTGTGGTGAGAAAAAGCAGTGATTGTGAACTCACTCAGCGGCACATAGCTGTGCTTTCATAGGCTTGCTGATGTCAGTGTGTGTGATGGAGGCCGGGAAACGTGTGGACGTGTGACTGGCAGGAACGTGTTCAGTCTTCAGCTTCCGTAGTAAGATGTCGGCTACAGTGCCTGAAATTGAAAAATGGAAGTAGAAGTCAGTAAGAGCTTAGAGATAAAGACAGGTGTACCACACCAATCAGCTAAAAGATTTTTTTTAAGGTTTTTGTTTTGTTTTTGAGAGAAAGAGAGTGTGAGCAGGGGAGGAGCAGAGAGAGGGAGCGAGGGAATCCCAAGCAGGCTCCATGCTATCAGCACAGAGCCCGACGCGGGGTTCGAACCCATGAATTGTGAGATCGTGACCTGAGCTGAAATCAAGACTCGGATGCTTAACTGACTGTTGTCACCCAGGTGCCCCCAGCTAAAAGATTTTTAAACCATTTCCTTTTGGGAGGGGGAGATAGAGAGGTGGGGTGCTTTTCCAGTAAAGTATCTTATATCCCTGTTGGCTTAAATCCTGCCTTTATGGCAGACCTTTAGAATATGGGTCGGCAGTGAAAAAATGGGACACGGTCCATGTAGACGAGTCTCAAGTGAGGCTGGGAAGAGGTAAGACAGTGGATGGGGGATGATGGGGCTTCAGGGAGGGGAGTTGGTTTTTAAAGTGTAAGAAACGTGAACACGCGTCATGCTGAGTGGAACTAGCAGAGGGGCTGATGGAGGGTATGGGCGAGGGGCGTTGGTTGATGGTTAGGGTGAGGGCTGGGATGTGAGATGTAAAGGAAGCACGTATAAATGGTTAAGGAGGAAGTTCATTTAGCTGTCACTAACTAGTTTGAGGCTGGTGTAGAGGACACGCATAGAAGCGGATAGCACAGGCTCCAGACACTGTCCCCAGACAGATGAAGACCCCACACGTACCCCTTTCTGAGGTCTCTTTCATGAAAGACCTAGGCCTTGGGCTGTGAGGGGTTCAGGGCATTTGGACAGGGACTCCCTCCCTGGGCTACATGGTTACAGAATCTCCAAGAGAGCCCAGCAGGGCCGTCCCTCGTGCTCCTCACCACCAGTCATTTTATATGGTTTCCGTTCCTAGTGGTTTGGACAAAAAGGTAGAATAGACGGAGAGAGAGGAGTTTCAGCCTTAGATGCCTTTGCTTGCTTCTTCCATTTGCTGCTTTAGCAATGTCGCCAACATATCCAAAATGCAGCTCTGGGTTTCTTCCCCTGCGCCAACCGGGTCCTCCCCTCAGCCTTCTCCACATCAGCACAGGCACCATCACCCAGATCCTTTTGACCTTACCCCTAATGGATCTTGAGTCCATTTCTCCCCATCATCCCATCTCTTCGGCCAGCGCTCTCGTCTCTCCGGGCCCAGTGGCCACATCCAGCAGTGGCTCCATGCCTTTGCCCTGGCTCATCTCTTCAACTCTCCATGTGGAAGGACACAGCGTCTTAAAATGAAGGCTAAATTGTGTCCCTGCTTCTTTTAAGCCCCTGCTTAAAACCCTCCAGGGGCTTCTTGCTGCAGCTAGAATGTCAGTCTGACTTGAGTTCCAGGCAGAAAAGACCTCTTGGCAAAGCCACATTTTCTGGCCCACACTCGCCCAAAGCTCATCTATCACGGGCCTTACCAATGGCCCCAGAAGGAGCCAACACGATATCAACACCTTGGTTTTGTTTTCCTTTTTTAAACATGTGATTCAATGGTTGTGGATCTTTTTAAGTGATCATTTCCCCAGTGGTACATTTTCCTAATCTGGACCTGTGGTAAGACAGTAACATTTTAATCTGTCGTTTCACAGCTACTTAACAGGGACATCAGCTTTCTAGCCTGAAGTCGTGGGGACCTTTCTCCCTACCTACCCTCTGTTCTACCTCCTCTGCTCAGCCAGTTCCCCATGTTAGGGTCTGTTAGAATATCTCCACTTTCTATTACCGAATTCAGTACCGGATTTTGTATCACTTTTTGGGCCGTAACCCAAAATAAAGACTCTAAAAGGCATTGAACAAAAAATGTTACGATTTTACCCAGGGTCTTTTGCCTCTGTCATTCTTCGTGTCCGCTTTGCCCCAGCTGACTTCTCTGCTATTTGCAGAAGTTTGGGGCACTGTGTCCAGACGCAGCAGTGACAGAAGAAAGCCTATGTCTTCTGTGTCTCTCAGGAGTGGGGAAACCTTTCCCAAAAGCTTCCCTAGCAGACCTCACACCTCACTGGTCAGAACCGGGTCACCTGCCCGTTCCTAAACCAATCACTAAGGAGGGAGATGGCTTTATGTAATAAGCAGTTGCTTTCCTAGAGTTTGAGACGTCATCTTCCTCTGATGTGCGTGGCTGTGTGGACAAGACTAAAGACCTATGTGTTTGAGGAGGAAGGAGAGGGGGAGAGGGGTAGGCAGCCCAGCACCTGGCTGTACGGTATATAAACACATCTCAGTTACAAAACACCTCCTACGTGGTAGACACACTTAGGACCTCATGTGCCTTATTCCACGAGGTCTCCACAACTAAGCGGGAGGAACAGTGGCAGAACAGATTCTGGAGTGGCGGGCCCAGGCTGTGGCGCTCGGCGGCATGTAGGTGAGAGCTTGGGCTCAAACTCAAGTGCCGCATCCAAACCCACGGTATTTCCGCTACCACCATGGGAACGGTTGGAACAGCCACTCTTCAAAAAAAAAAACCAAACAAACAAAAACAAAAAACAACTATGTTTCTTAACAGCCAAGTGCATAGAAGGCTTTCAGATGTTCTCAGCCATGGAATTCTCCAAATTTGACTCCTAGTTAAAGAGTATAGCAGCTGTAATTAGGTGGGACTCAGGGTGGCAACTAGAACGTTTTCTTTTTTTTCTTTTAATTTTTTTTAAGTTTGTTTATTTTTGACAGAGACAGAGTGCGAGCATGAGCTGGGGAGGTGCAGAGAGAGAGAGAGGGAGACACAGAATCCGAAGCAGGCTCCAGGCTCCAAGCTGTCAGCACGGAGCCTGACGCGGGGCTCGAACTCACGAACCGTGAGATCGTGACCTGGGCTGAAGTCGGATGCTTAACTGACTGAGCCACCCAGGCGCCCCTAACTAGAATGTTTTCTAAGCTTCCCCTCCCCCCAGTAGCACCCAAGGTGTTTCTGGAAACTAAGGCTTCTCGAAACATGCTGAGACATCAGCAGCCACTTGCAGCCAGGCGGCCCTCGACCACTAGGAATTAGAGCAGCCTGTGTGCCCTCCAGGTCACCTTTCCTCAAAGGGGATTTTGAAGATTACACACTTATTTTGTACTTCATGCTTTTGGCTCTCTGCCCAGAGAATTGAAAAAACACCCCTGGAAAGGTAACCATCTGCGTTCGCGGTGATGGTGTCTGCCAGAAAGGGGCTGTTGGGTAGAGCCAGTGATGTGGGGGAAGACCCCAGTGTTCTGATCACATTCAAGCCCTGTGAGCCCTTTGCTCTTAAAGGCTCCGTTTGTTTCAGTTTGTTGAACATGTAGTTGCTGAGCAATCTTCCTGGAGCCCCCGCTCGGAATCTGCCATCTGCCTGACTCGCTCCTGTCAGCCCCACAGATAGCCCGTCCACCAGCCGCCTCACTCTTCCTTTTCTGAACGTACCATTCCCTGTTGAGGACCCTCCCTGCTTGTTTCTGTTTATTTAAGTCTCGTCCATTCTTCATCATAAGTCCCATTACATCTAAAATGCTTCTCAAACATCCAGCCCTTTTAGTAATTTCTTCCTTCCCTGAACTTCTGTAACATTACTGCGTTCATGACTCACGTGGCATATACAGCGACTGAACTTGTGGTGTGAGGTTTTTGTTATTTTTTAATGTTTATTTATTTGTGAGGGGGGCTGGTGGGAGAGGGAATGCACACGCTAGCGGGGGAAGGGCAGAGAGAGAGGGAGACAGAATCTGAAGCAGGCTTCAGGCTCTGAGCTGACAGCTCAGAACGTGGGGCTCGAACCCATGAACCTCGAGATCATGACCTGAGCTGAAATCAAGAATCCAACACTTAACTGACTGAGCCACCCAGGCACACCTGTTTTGCTTTGTTTTGATAGATCTTTCTTTTTGGCCAGGCTGTAGGCATGTCAAGGATAAGTACCAGGTTTTCAATTTCAGCATCTCTAGTGTCTAGAGAAAGAGGGGAGAGACACATGCCCTTTACAGAGCACTTTCGAATGTCTCTTTTGATCCTCACCTACATGAGAAGGACAAAACATGTGTTATCTCCACTTCAAAGATGGAATGTCAGTCTGTGTAGTGTAAGGGATTCTTCCAAGGTGACGAGGCCAGCAAACGGTAGGAGGACAGCTTGGCCTCAGGTTTTCTAAGTCCTGTGCTCCTTCTACTATACAAAGGTAGTATTAAGCAAATGCCACATTTATAGGGCACATAACGTCATAGGAGCTCAGAGGTAGATGATCTTGTATATTTGGGTAGTTCATGAAGGCCTCCTGGAGAAGGTAGAAATCGAGCTGCCTCTTGAACAGTAGGTTGGACAAATGACTGAGTATGGCAAAAGACTGACAGATGAGTTGAGACTGTGAGCAATGTGCCCAGCCCACGAGGACACAGTGGGACAGTTCCCGGGAAGCACTGGGAAGTGCAGCGAGGGAGGCAGCATGGAGCGGGGTTCTGGAAGGCCTATGTGGGAGCCGAGTCTCCACTCTTGCAGATCAGGAGTTGGGGGTGGGTCTCTAGGAGAATAAGCATCCTCCTGCAAGAGGACTCCTCAGCCAAGGAGGTAGGAACACCATTACCGGACAGAACCGGGGCTGCTTCTGAGGACAGATGGGGTAAGTGGGGAGTGGGGATACCGGAACCCTCTGAATTTTCCCCCATATCTTCATTCCAGTGTTACCCAATCAGTGCTCTGCCTTTCAGCTGAGAAACCTGGCAGGGCTGTAAACTCAGCTACTGTTACTCAACAGCATGAGGATTCAGAATCTTAAGTTGGGTCTCCAGCCCTCTTGGCCTTGATCTCTGAAGGATGACATTCAGCCTGGTTCTAGAAGCCTCTAGGTTTCAGTCTGTGGCTTGAATTGAGACTTTGAGGATTTGAGCTTGTTACTCTCTTTTCTAAGTCATTCACTGCCACTGATAGTGGCCACCCATCGGCGGCCTTGGGTTTCCTTACCCATAGTGTTTTGGGATGGCAGCAGCTTGATTTCTACCTTCTCCAGGCCTTCATGAACTACCCAAATGTACATGTGGTCTCCAAGAGCTGGGCCTTCTGTGGGCGTGCCATGTCAGGTAACTTCCGGGGAACTCATTCTCGGCGTGCTGTGGGCTGCTAGGTTCCCACCTCAGAATATCAGCAGGATTTCCACTACTTTCTACCCTCCTGAAGGCAGATACCCTCATTTCCCTACTCCTCTGTAATTTGCAATATGCTATCCTGGCACCGAATTCCCTATCGGTTAGGAACTTTTCAGTGACAAGTAATGACAATGGAATCTGTCCCATGGGAAAAAGAAAACGAACGTCGGGGGCCATAGAACCATGGGGAGTTGGAGGATTCGGTTGCAAAAATGGATGGAGACTAAAGCCAAAATCTGCTGAGCCAAGAAACAGGATGACAACCATCCAATGGGGTTGAAGCATCGCCAAGGTGCTGCTTTTTAATTTTTTTTTTTCAACGTTTATTTATTTTTGGGACAGAGAGAGACAGAGCATGAAGGGGGGAGGGGCAGAGAGAGAGGGAGACACAGAATCGGAAACAGGCTCCAGGCTCTGAGCCATCAGCCCAGAGCCCGACGCGGGGGCTCGAACCCGCGGACCGCGAGATCGTGACCTGGCTGAAGTCGGACGCTTAACCGACTGCGCCACCCAGGCGCCCCAGGTGCTGCTTTTTAAGTTCTGTTGTGCTCATTCATTCTGTATTCAAGTTTCTGAGTGCTAACTAGGTGAGGGTGTCTGGTGGGCCTGGGTTGGAGCTGCACACCCCTGTGGGAACAGGAGAGGGGATATCCGCCTCTAGGTTGGTGGGCAGTAAGGCCCTCCCACACAGTAAGCACAATGGTGGGCCCCCAAAATTGTAGAAGAAGGAGTGTTATATCCCAGGTAGCTAAAAACAACAAAAGAATGGGTAGATTTACAGATAGGCCCCAAGGGGAGAAAAGCATGAACCAGACTTCCACGTATATGTAGTGTCATACGTTCATAAATTCTGGGAAAATAAATTCCCACAGGCTTGTGGGAAAACAAGTAAACTCAAGATTCTCCTAACATTCTTGATATTCTGAGGCTAAGACGTGGCAGTCTCAGCTAATAGTAAAGGTCATTCCTTGGTGAAGAAAATGGATTGGGCAGTTAGAAACATGGAGAGATCCTTACATGTGCTCTTTTGGTCCCTGTCCTCTTACTTCCTAATGTCTAGAAGAAGGTTTAAAAAGAAGAGAGTAAAAATCTTATTTATTGATCACGAAAAAGCAAGACAAAGTAACAAAGATGACGGGCAATCAATTTTCTTCATGGCAAATATTGTGGAAGACAGGAAATGAGAGAGGAGAAAACAATGTGAATGACTCAGATTTACAGATGTTGTCTGGGCTAAAGGCTTACCGGTTGTAGAACTTTCAAATCCTTTTGAGTCCTATATACTTTTTCCACTAAAAAAAAAAAATAATAATAAAAAGATTGACTCTTCTTAGTACCTTGTGGGTATCCCTGGATTCATTTGTTAATTCATGCATCTGACATTTATTGGCATTTACTGAGTGCCAAGGATCGAAAGACAAATTGCATTTCTTTGATGGCTCTGGAAGGTACTGTGGTAGATAGTCTCCAAAGATGGCTTCCATTGATTCCTTTTGTTGTTGAACCCCCACCCCCACCCTGCCCCTTGAACCTGGCTGCCTGGTGACTTGCTTTGGCCAATAAAATGCAACAGAAGTGACCTGTGGCAGTCCCTAGCCTTTAAGGGGTCTGGCAGTTGCTTCTTTCAGTTACCATGTAACAGTCTGATCACCCAATGGCCACCATGCTGTGAGGAAGCCCCAGCCAGCCCGGAAGAGTGCTGGTGCACCTGGTGAGCCAGCAAAACCTTCTTAGACCTTGCAGCCCAGCCCAGCCCAGCCCAGCCCAGCCCAGCCACGCTGAATGCAGCCCAGTGAGTGCATCTAGTTGATGCCACATAAGCACCGGCTGAGCCCAGTTGGCCCCCAGAGATAACAGTGGTAGCTGAAAGCTTCCGTGATTTGTTTTGCAGCAACAGATGAGTGGAGGAAGTAGCATGATACCAGGTCAGTTGGCAGGACCTTCCCAGGTGGAAGGGATCTGAGGCTTTCAGGTAGCATAGGAGTGATTCTGGAGAACTCTGGTGTGCAGCCTACTGGTAGAGGGGAGGTGGGAGGGATTAGGAAGGGCGCCTGATGCAAGGGAAGAGGTGCGCCTCAGACCCTGACCGGGTACTGCTTACTGCTTACTTACACCTGCCCTTCCGTAGGTTGTCGCTACTCTCTGGGCACTCCTGCTCACCTCCAGGTCCCATGTGTACTCCCAACCGAACCCTCGGGGTATCGGTCAAGTTCTGTTTATGTGTAAAATGGGGATAGAACTCTGAGGCAAGTGGTTGGCACTGACAGGGAAGGATGGGGAGACTGGATGCAGAAAGACAAGAGGCTGAGTGTCACCAACATCGCCTCCTTTATAGCTCTGCCTGAGAACAGGCTACCCTGTGTCAGAGAATATTGCCATACTTCAGTTAAGAGCATTTTAATTTATTTTTCCAGCATTTGGTAATCACCTGCAGGGCACTGCATCAGTCCCTGAAAATTCAAAGATGAAAACAGTTCCTAATTTCAAGATGTCCATCGCTGCTCAGGGGGTAAATTCTCGGGCCGTGGTATGTTTTGGCATCATACAAGTTACTTAAACATGTCCCTAGGAGAACTGCACCACCCAGTAGGAGAATTCATTTTACCTCTTCACTTAAAAAACAAACAAACAAAAAAAACCACTTATTTATTCACCCTCACCCTCCTGGCCTCCACCCTTCCAGACCTCCAGACCTCAGCTCCACCCGACGCTGCTTGCTTCTGGGTCTAGATCTACTTTTCTAGATCTATTTTTTTGTCGTGCAATTTCCCCAGCTTGAACTTGGTTGGTGCCTCATGGATCACAGACTTATTCTGTGATGGACCTGAACCAGGTGATTCTACAGCTTAGAAATGGGCCCCCAGAGGTCATCGTATTATTTTCCAAAGATGACAGTGAAGTGGAACCGCAGACCCCTGAAGTGGCCATGTGACTCACCCCTCGTACAGCCACAGACACCTTTCAGAATTCTGGCTCTGCTGAACATCTGCCAGCTTGTGTGTGTGTAAGTTGTGTCTTCTGTCAGATTGGTTTTTAAGACAAGGGCCAAACTCTTAAAACTTCTTATAAAGAACAAAATGGATCCAGTTAATGGTGAACTCTAGAAACACAGGGCTGAAGAGAGAAGCAAAAAGTCGCAACGGTCAGGTTCAGGATAATCAAGTATGGAGCCCGACGGCAATGAACATGGCTCAGCTCGTGCGTGGCAGTGAGTTTCCTCTCGTTCGAAAAGAGAATCGCAGAGAGTGAAAAAGGGTGTGGCTTTAAAATCCCAGCTCTGGCCATTTGAAATTCCTACCCTCCCTTCCCTTTTGATGAAACCATCTAAAGCGATGACGGGAAGTTGGTAAGGAATGGATACTTTGAGAGCTTCTGGAGGCACGGGGATGCTTGCTGCCGTAGCCTGTGCCCCACTGCCCGGATGCTGGCGGTGGCTCCCTGGCTGCCCCTGGCTATGCGTGAGGCGGCTCATGGCCCGTTTATAGTGGGGACTGCTCCTCTCCTACCCCACTGCCCTTCCTAAATTTCATCCAAGCTGGCATCAGTGGAGCCATGTGACCTTGGGCAAGTCAACTGCTATCGGCCTCAATTTTCTCATCGATAAAAGGAGGAGGTGAGATTAGGCCTGTGATTTTTATAAATACATGTTCTAAAGGAAAGAAAGAGAACAACACAGGGAAAGAGACTGTGTGCGCCAGGCACACCTGGGCCATAACCTGTTGCTTCTCACATGGAGATCTTATTAGAGATTTTCCAGAACTGAGATCAGATCCAGATTTAGGCAAGATTTTTTTTTTCTACTTTTAGAAAGAGAGGCCGAGCTCCACCATTTGGGGCTCTGTATTCCCCTGCTTTCTCCTTTTCTTTCTTTGTGGTAGGTTTCTCCTCAGTGATTCTTTCAGTGCACTATTTTTTTTTTTTTGTATTGAAAATAGACATTTTGTTTATACAAGGTACAATTTCAAAATAACAGTTATAAAATATGTAGCTATAATTGACAAGGAGTATAAATAGAAAAAGGTATATATGGGAAATGTCACTGAGTTCAGTTTCCTTCTTTCTGAATCCTTAAATCAAGAGGACTCACTGGGCACAGTACCTCTTTGCTCCTTTTCAGTGCATGCAGAGCACCTAACTGGAGAGACGGTGTAGGAGCTACGATGATGTCATCATCCTCGCAGCCGTCTCATAAGGCAGGAGGAGCCGCATAATTCTCTTCCAGCCACAGGTGTATTTATTTCTCTTCTTTGTGAACTGCAAGTCGGGATGTGGGATGGAATAGTCAAGCTGATGAGCTCTCCTGAATAAATGTCTTAATGAAGTAAAAGGAAGGCCGAGGTGTCCAGCCACTCCCAGGAAAGCTTCAAGTGCCAGGACTTTAGGAAGTCAGCCCTACTCCTGAGACAGGGCATCCTGAGACTGGAGAGGCTAGAAATACAGGAGGTGTCTCGGCTGGCCATGGTCAATAAAATGACACCAACATGTTTGTTTTATCATCCTGACGGGCTCTTTGCTGGCACCCAACACCTGAGTCTTTCCTTGGACCTCTTCAGCTAGGGAAGAGTTGGCATCCTTGCTTCAGCCTTGGCTGCCCTCAGCTTCCCCCTGGAGTTTCCTAGGTTGTGTGCTTGGTTTTCTGCATCCTCGTCTCTGCCGTTGGTTCCCCCAGTCATTGGTATCTCTTCCATGTTCTCCATTGCAACAGTGTGTATCTGCGAAGTTTGCCTGTAAAGCAGGTAATTCACAGGTTTTGAAAAGAGGAGAGGGTTGTCCGCAAACGAGTCAACAGATGGTTCCTATTGAACACTCAGATGGAGAAGGCCTAGATCGCTTCCATCCACAGATGGAATTTAAACCTTAGTTTGGTATTTTAATGCCCTCATCCGCTAAATATTCACCATGCTGTTGGAGCCACTCACCCCCTCTTTTCCCTCTGCTAAATAGCAGTAGTCAAATGGCAGGAACAAAAAGGAAAGAGTCCTGGGAGCCTGGGGAAGCCAGACAAGATCGTCTTGATGAAAATGATGCGATATTTATAAAGCTTTTAAAACAGTTCTTGGCACTTTGTACGTGTTAAAGAAACAAATATATTAATCAGTTCCTGAGTCACCAAGAGTAGGGGAGGCAGAGTCTTAATTCCACATGTTTCCCTGTCACTGTTTTCTTTAGGCCCTGAGTTTCTGGGTCAGCAGTTTTCTTCCATGGATTATATCATGTACCTCTTGAGGATAGGCAAGTCTAGGGCATTTCAAAGTAAACACTTTGAATCCAAACAAGGCCAAAACGTGAATTTGAAGAGCTATATCCACCCTAAGCTCACTGCAGTTACTGTTTACAATAGCCAAGATACGGAAGCAACCTAAGTGTCCGTTGACTGATGAATGGGTAAAGAAATGCTATGTAGATACAATGGAATATTACTCAGCCATAAAAAAGAATGACATCCTGCCATTTGCAACAACACAGATGGACCTAGAGGGCATTATGCTACGTGAAATAAGTCAGACAGAGAAAGATACCATATGATTTCACTTATATGTGGAACCTAGAAAACAAACATGGACAAACAAAACATACGTGTGGGTATAGAGAACAAACTGGTGGTTGCTAAAGGTGAGGGGCTAGTGGCCAGCAGGTGAAATAGGTGGAGGGGATTAAGAGGTACAGACTTCAGTTATAAATTAAATCATGGGGATGTCATGTACAGCATGGGGAATGTAGTCAATGATATTTGTAATAACTTTGTACCATGTCGGGTAGTAAGCAGACTTAGCATGGAGATCATATCATAAATCATAAAAATACTGAATCACTATGATGTACACCTGAAACGAATTGGATATTGCATGTCAACCATACTTCAATAAAAAAATAATACAGTACATAAGCACTTTGAGCTCCTTGGAGTGAGAGCTAGACTATGGATCAGGACTCTAGGCCAATGTACTGAAAATAATTTGCTAAAAGCCAATTTGTTGAGTGACAAATCTACCTAATAACCTACTTGCAAAAAAAGAACTTTATGGCAAAGAATTGATTCACCAAATGACCAAGTAGTTATTATGCTTTTCAGGTTTATCAATTCTTCTTAAAGATACATTTATGAATATTTCCTTATAGTCAGTGAATATTGATATTTTCATCTTATAAGCATACTTATTAGCCATATATACCAAATATACAAAGTCTTTTAAGATTCTCTTTTTAATGTGTTCTTAAAAAAGACTATGTATACTTTTTTAAGTCAATATAGTTACTCATTATAATCTCTTAAGAATGTAACTCCAAATACAACAGCTCATGTGGAAATTTAGTTACAGTGATATTTTGAAAATCCTTTAAAAGTCATTTTTGATTTTGCCAGCATTTGAGCATTTTTGGG